TAGGCACATGTGGTGTGGGAGTCTCCTGCCGACTAGCGCTATGTTCCCCACATGGCCTAATGGTAGGGGCAGTTGCTACCCCTACCGGCGGCTGCCTTTTGGCCCTGGGGCAGCCGTTTGGGTCTCTCTATACTTAGGACAATATTTGATGATATGGCCCGGGTCACCGCAGAAAATGCACTGGCCCCGGTCCAATCGTTGTTGCCATAAAGTCTGGTCCAGACCCAAAGATTCCCAAGGCCTACCCYGAGGTAGCCCTGGGTGCCATCCTCCTATTCTATAGAGAGTCCTATTCCAAGGACGGTTTTGCGGGGGACCTTGACCCCTGCCTCCCGCTTGGCGGTTTCCTCCTCTGCCGCCAACCCCCTGATCGCCCTGAAATCGACTCCCTGAGGCCCGGCCTCCTTGGCCCTGGCCTCTTCCTCCTTGCGGCCTCCCTCCAGCCGCGACAGCAGCGTAAGATCTCCCTTGGCCCACTCCGCTGTCCGCCTCCTCTAATCCCCACTCAATCTGGTCGTAGGGAATCTCATCCACACTACCCTCATCTAAAGTCAGGACAAGGCTATCCTTGGTCTTTACCTGCCCTGAGATAGTGCGGCCTTTCCATTGCTTACCCCTGTCCAAGTATTTGTGCCAGAAGGTAGACACGGACGCAGACTTGGCTTCGAAAGTCACCACTTCTCGACTAAGAGAATCGTACGTAGTGGCAGGGTCTTCGCTCTTTGCGAAGAAATGCCCTCGCAAGGCTTCGGGCATGGCCCGGTAAAAGAGATTGACCAGTTGGGCTTCTGTGACCTTATGATCAGGGACGGCCACCAAACTCATCCATCGTACCCTTGAGTGCTCTAGCACTCTTCCATTTACGCACGTGGATGGTTTGGAGCTTATCTGAAGCCTTGACACTGCGGGCGACATCAGCAAATCGCTCACGCAGCAGCTTCAGGAATTCGGTGAGGGAGGTAAACGAGGAGTAGGCAACGGGATCGTCGCTACAGTTATTGGCACGAACCAAGGACCTTGCAAAACTGGCGGCCTCATCTTTAAGCGCGTGGATCGCAATCAAGACCTGCTGATCTAGGGAGACCTGCTGCAAATGCACATAGGTCTTAACGTTGGCCTCCCAATTATCAAAGTTCTCTTCCCTCTTCCCACTATAGGAATCYGGGAATTTGACCTTGATCGGCTCTCTACGTGGCGGGCGTGGTTCCTCTTCCTTGGGGGCTGCCGCCTTGACGCCTTCAATGGCGCCAGTACAGAACCGCTCAGTCTTATCGAGGCGATGACCCACCTCAGCCCCAACGGCGCCTACCAGTTCACGAGCAAAGTCCCTAAAGCCCAATCGTATCGAGCGCACARCTATATCTTGACTCCTGCTGAAGTCATACTGATCTGCCTGGACTCGTGCCAGGCATGCGATGCTTCGAGCCATGACTCGCATCTGATTCAGGAAATCGGGTTGGGCGGCTAATTG